CTGCAAAAAATAATATTACAGTATTAACACATCATATTATTAATATTGACTACCATTCCAAGAATGTAATTAGTATCATATACAAGACTTCGGTATTTTAATTAAAAGACACTTCAGATAAAAAAAATAGGATTAGCATCTCTATGGAATGAGAACAAATACAACCGAAGCCGTCCTTGAAATGTCCTCATTAGAACACAATGGAATATTAAACAGAAATCATAACAAATTTGTACCTGCATATTATGTCTAGAAATATTTTAGTACCATTGTTATAGATTCAAATTTCAATGCAAAACCATATACTTATAGTAGATCATTTAGTTACAAGAACAATAATTTAGGAAACCAGCGTTCATTGTAATGAAACGCCATTTTCTGGGCGAGACCCGGAGGCTTCCCTGAGCTATTCAAGGCTGATGTGTATATATTAGACTGTGGTAACAGTCAATTGATGGAGTTCTAGCCTACCGGGGACCACGAGCCAGAACCTGACATCCCCCAGAGAGGCGCAAGGAGCAATGACCTGTAGACGACCCCCCTCCCCCTGTGTGTTTGAAAACAGTCTATATCTACCATCTACCAGGTCAGGCACCCAGAAAGATAAGAATCCCAAAACAAACTACAGCTGGTTAAAAATTGCAAACCAAAAGCCAAATGAGCAAGCAGAGCTCCCCAATCAGAAAACAAGCAAACAAGCATGACGTCACTACAGCCGCTGCACTGCTGTCTGTGCAATTACCCCCTCCCTTTGGAGGGGGAAGGGGGAGCCCCAGAATCCCATCCCCCCCCGCACTGCCTACCTAACCCCAGTTCAGGGGATCGGACGGGATAAGTCCAGAATGAACCTCAGGTCCACACAGTCCCGTTTTCAGAACTAGAAACAGACGGGAAACCCACCTGGAGATGCCATCGGCTCGACCACGCCCTGCTTGCTTGAGTATACCTGCTTGATGGGGTTCTAGGAGTTCTTCTACTCCCCAAGCCCAGCCTGAGGCCAGGCTTGAATTGTGAGAGCTTGGTCCATCAGGCTGTTGCTTGGTACGGCCTGCAGGCCCACATATCTACCACAGCCCGGTTGATTCGGCACTCCTTGAAGAAAATTACCTAGTTTTCTCTTTAAGATGTCCACGGTTGTTCTGGCAATATTCCTTATGCTCACTAGGAGGATGTTGAACAGCCGGGGACCTCTAATATTTATACAGTTCTCTCTGATTGTGCCTATGGCACTCCTGCTCTTCACTGGTTCTATTCTGCATTTTCTTCCATATTGTTCTATCAGTATCTACTATACATCTACTATATGTACTATACAATAGTATAGTATCTATCAGCAGACTACTGAAAACAGAATGCAGGGACTACTTTCCTGGCACGGGTGTTGCAGTTCCCACGCTACACTGCCTCCATTATCATAAGGTTGCATTAGCAAGTGAGCGTTGTGTGTGTGTGGTGTGGCGAGGAGACCTGAGGCAGGTGTGGCCTGCCTTGCAGGTTTGTCCTGGCAGTTTGTGATTATATTACCCGTTGTTAGCGTCTGCGTGAAGTAACTTGCATTTTGAAGACATTTATATAGTAGCGTTGGGAATTGCATGGCGAGTATTGATATACTTATTAAGTAAATGCAGTCACCAGGTACGGATGGGGGTAGGGCACGGGAGAGGGGAAGTTATAAGGGAAGGGGAGAGGAGGGAGGTGTACTCCCGCTATCTGGAGCATACCTGGAGTGTGTTTTGGGAGTTCTACTCCCCGAGCCCGGATTGAGGCCAAGATCGGCTTGTGATAACTTGGTCAAACAGGCTGTTGCTTGGAGCGGCCCGCAGGCCCACATATTCACTACAGTCTGGTTGGTCCGGCACTTCTTGCAAGAACCTGTCCAAGTGCCTCTTGAATACCTCCACCTTCATTCCGACAATATTTCTGATGCTTGTTGGGAGGGGGTTGAACAGCCATGGACCCCCTGATAGTGCTCTCTGATTGTGGCCCATTGCACCTTACTCTTCACTGCGTGTATTCTGCATTTCCTTTCGTATCTTTCGCTCCAGTATGTTATTCTACTGTGCAAATTTGGGACCTGGCCCTCCAGTATCTTCCATGTACAGTATATATTATTTGATACCTTTCTCATCTCCTTTCCAGAAAATACATTGAGAGTTTTGAGATGGTCCGAATAATTCAGATGTTTTATCGTTTCAATGCGTGCCGTATATGTTCTCTGTGTATAGTTGTAAAGATTCCTTCAAATCTCTCGACAGACAGATGTATTCCCTCTAATTCAGAGATCTCTCCTGCTCTGAAACGGGAAGCGAGTACCGAGTAATACTCAAGACGGGACAGCACCAGTGATGTAAATAAGTGTTAGCATTGATGTGCAATACTTTGCTTGCTTGTCTCATGTATTATCCTGTGTCAGCCGGGGTCCTCTGTTGTCAACAAGAATGCAGGGAAAGTTATGTTTATAATACAAACAGCCTCATTAATCAGGTATAGGGGAATCAGCATGTTGTGTCTAGAGATCCAGGAGATAGTCGTAATTACAAGGTATGTATTACGAAGAAAGAAAGGACCCCGAACCCCCCCCCCCCCTGAAGGAGGAGGAGTCACCAAATGCCACTACCTGGCCACAGGAAACGACCCGAAATGCCCACAAGTCTTGGGACTAGGCGTGAACAGTGTCCTATCAATGGGGCGAACTGCAAAAGGGCCGACGACCCTTACAAGAGCCCGACCAATACTCAGAGCGAGCACTGCACTGACCAGACGTTGACAGCTCCACAGGAGGGGTTCGCCCCGAATCTAGCACTACTGGCTTATGTCGACCGAAGGAACCCCGAGCCTCTGGTACCGACACTCCTGAGAAGGACCACCCTGCCAACCCCCCTCCCCCCCCCGGTTGAACCAACAAGTTTGATTTAGGCCGGCTACTAGACGAAGCCTCTTACAGAAAATGGGCCGCCACAGACTCTGCAAACATCAACGGATAAAGAGGGGAGGAAAATCTAAGAGCCAGGGACCCAAGCAGATTCCAAAGAGTGGACAAGCACCACCTGCCGGCACACAAGGTGACAGGCAAAGAACAGACGCACCACTTTCATCAGAATCAGCGCAAACAACTTCAACAACGCAGCCGATGCCCGATGCCGCCGAGGCAAGCGTACCAGACTCGGGCACGGAACCCAGCCTCTCCACATCCTCCTCAAGCCAGTCCGAAGACAGCTCCAGCAGGAAAAAGAAGCGCAAGACCGAAACCAAATGCCCTTGGGCATGCAAATCCTCGACCACCAGGAACACCGAAAGGAAAGGAACCTGCACGTGAAGCTGCACCTGGCTGATATCACGAGGAAGCACAGGGGCAAACAAGTACACATTGAGGTGCTCAAACTCGTCCCCCAGGTAAACCTGAATGACCGTAGTCAATTCTCGCCACTCAAGCGTGTGGGTCCTGCAAAACGCATGCTATGCCCCCACCGAAAAGAAATTGCAGTCTGCTAGCCAGGACTTCGGCACCTCGTAATGAACCCAGTAAGAAAAACAGGTGTCAAACTCAAAAGAAGGAACCATTACCAAGGGGTAATCCGGGTCTCGCAGGAGGTAAACCGCGAGGGACTCTTGCACCTCCGTAGGCGAGATGCAAGAGGCTGAAAACTTCCAGGAGGAGGGAACCAAAGAACACAAAGGAACTGGGACCGAACTCGGGGAGGAGCCGAACTCATGTCAAACTCATTCAGAGAGGGGGGATACAAAAACCCCTCCCCATGTAACAAGCCCCGTGCTGAGGGTACCAACATCCAAGCCGGGTCATACGGGACCCAAACCCTCCCAAGTCAACTCCTCCCCAGCCCCGGGATCCTCTAAGTCAGCACCCGGGGCCGAGCCGTCCTCCAAACCCTCGGTCTCTGGAGAAAAGGCAGAGTCCACAGATAAAACAGGGAAGAAGGGGGGGGGGAGGGGTCCACTGGCGTGACTTGAAAGCCCCGGCAGGAGGAACTGCTCCACTGCCTACGCTGCCGATCTAGAAGGGGCAGTCCCCAAGGCTCCCCGAGTCTCGCCTCCAAGAAACCCCACCCTGACTCTGAAACCCTGAAACATATGGGAGTAAGGGGGTGGGGGAGCAGGACGAACTACAGCAGAGGAAAGACAAGGGGGCGCAGATGAAACCAAAGTTGAGGCAACTAACACCCCAAGTCCGAGTCCCTATAAACCAAGCGGGGCAGCCGCAGGGCATCCGGAAAGGCAACCATGTACTCGACCATGTATCAACCAACCAAATGCGTAGCACCAACCTAAACCTTGCATGCAATGCGGAAGCTGCCTGTACCTGAATATCAGTAACAATGGACTGGGTGAACTGGGTTACATGCAAGGAACACCACTTTGCAGGTGCAAAGTGGTGTTCATTACTTGCAAGATTCCGGGTCAAAGGTGTCATAGATCCAACAGGCAGCATGGTGGAGGCAATGATGATGAATGTCACCCTGAGACAAGGGGAAAAGAGCAACCTTCAAACTCCTCTCACAGAACGAGGTGGGACTCTGAGGACTCCTCTTATCAGACCAATGAACCCCAATTGGGTTTCCAGGGTCCTTAAGCTGACTGCTAAGGGAAGCCCAAGCAAGGTACTGCTAATCGGTTATCCCAGAGCTACCAAGCTAACAACTAAAAGCTGAACCCCTGCAATGTGTACAATCAAAGTGGGCCTAGAGGAGGGCCTCCAAAACAAGTGGACCTAGAGCCACAAAAAGCAGACCCCACACCAGGCAAACAAAATAAAAGAAAAGAAAAACCCACAAAAGCACATCTCCAGGGGAACATAACTGGTCACTATGCATATATTAGACAGCTGCACAGTGCAAAGGCCCTGAGAGGCATGAACTATGAGGAAAGGCTAAGGGAGCTGACCTCACATCCCTGGAAAACAGAAGAGGAAGGGAAAACATGATAACTACCTACAAAATTCTCGGGGGAATTGACAGGGTGGACAAAGACAAACTCTTTAGCAT